TGAGTGTGATGTGAGTGTGGTGTGAGAGTGTGTGTGAGTGTGTGTGTGTGTTGTGTGGAAACCACATACATACACACACACACACAAGTGCACAAGCGTTTCGTTCAAGCCGAGCTCACCCCGGATAGCAGAGAAATCCGCTTACCTTGCAGCAAATACAACTAGAATGTTTCTTGGTGTAGTTGTGTCTGGTTTACGACCCTTTGTTATTGTTACGTTATGTTTGTATTGAATAGTATTGAATGAGTAATGTCGAGGTTTAAGAGATTAGACATTATTGGAGGTGATAGAAATCAGGAATATTTTGCTTGAAGCTATCGGAGTCGCTAGCAACACAAGCAAGGTAGCACAAACAGCTAGATAGGGATTGAAAGCCTTTTTTGACGGAATAATAAATAGCATCATAAACGAGAAATATAGAGAGGGCGATAAATCAATCCTAGGTGGTAAAGAAAAAACGTAAAAAGACTATTCGAGGCTGAAGCGCAACTCGCTACCTTCTACCTTAGTGCCCACTCAGTGCATGGCGAGGGAGAACCGCGGTCTGTCCAACCTCCTCGTTTAAGACTTATTTTAACAGCCCACCTCCGCCTAAAGATCTTCCGCAAGGCTTTTGTAGGTGAGGCGAAAATCTTACGGTCGTTGGGACACAAGTTTGTTTATTCCAGTGACTGCGGAAAGAACATGGAAAAATGAATTCGAGATAAGGTCCGGCATAAACCTTGTGGAAAGTCACGTCCAGATAAGAACTATTTATATGTTGTATTTTTGCATCAAACGTCCGATAACAACTATAATATGTCTTTTGTTTGTATCAAAGTCCAATTAAAGTATATAAATGTGCTTGGCGTTTCGAATTCACGATAAGGTGTTATCAGCCTCGATGAGGGCCAAGGCATACAGTGGTTTCCTGCAGCGTGACCCATAAATCACAAGCACTGGTAATTTTCCCCTTTCTCGTTGACAAGGAACAAAATAACCGGTCCTCGTGAACCTTAGAAAAACGTTGAGGATCGCCGTGTGTATTTTACCGCGTTGGTTAAGGTCAAGCAGTATTGCATGCTGTGACTTATTTTTAAAAGTTCGTGGCCGTGGTGATATTTTTATTTTACATGTAGGAAGTCTATAATGCTATGAAAGCTTGAACATTTTTTGGTCATAGAGAAAGACTATTTTAAAAAAGTCCATTAATTATTATGTACTTTGTAGTCATGACTTAAGATGGCACTGATCTCAGGCAGTGCAGAGAAGTGTTTATTTTTAGCGATTTTATATGGGCCAGAGAATGAGAGCTGGAATCTGTAGTACATTGAAAATATAATTAGAATGTCTGTCCTATTTGTAGTTGCATTAAGAAATATTGAATCTAAGAGTTGCACTTGCAGTTCTGCATCTGCAAGCCCGCTTCATTTGTGGTAGCTATTAGGAAATTGAGAAAGGCAGTACATGTGGTTGAGACTATGTATAGTGTGTGTGAGATCTTCGACTGATTATTAATGTCAGTAATAGGATTTGAAGAAATTTGGTTACGGTTAGCAAGGTTTCCACCTTGTCTGCTATGAGGGATTAAGGTTTGTTGGCCTTTGCAGGAATTCTGAGGGCACGGGGGGCCATGGGGATAACGGTTAGCTATATTAAACACAGTTTTTAGGTTCAGAAATACCCATTGATGATAGAAAACCGGAATGCAAAAACTGAAGGTAAGCCCCACAATAACAACATAAAAGATACATCAGAAAGGAGTTCGGGGTCTGCTGTGGCCTCGCAGACTTTGCTACCAGCCGAAAGGACAGCCTCCACTTCTGTATATTCTGGCAAGTTTGGAGCTCTCGTAGACTTCCTCTGGTGTCTTGCCATGAATTAAAGAACCAGTCCAGGTCTATCCAGGCAAATGTGTATTTTTTTGATCTTGGGTGAATCACCGGAAGCACGAAGACGAAGGACTCGGGACCAGACTCAAGAGAGATTTCATGTGACCAACCTGATGGCTCTGATGAAAATTGTTCTATGTTGGCTGCCCTAGAATGAGCATTGGTCACAGGATATTTTGTTAAGGAGATGCTGCGCACCCCCTCCTAGTCGAAGTCCCAAAACCATTTTTAAATTTTTTTGTTCCTCTCCCAACAGTTTACTTGCAAATACTTAACTCACCAAACCGCCCTGGATTATTGTTCTGTCCCACGTAGTTTTTTGTGAATGTTATTAAATACAGATGGCTCCACATGTGCTCAGCCAGCAAGGAGTCCTATCGGTAGTCCCTAGTGACCAATCCTGATTTCCCCTTCCTTAAATTGGGGCAGGAAAATGTCTTTTCCTTTTTAACACAGTAATATTGATACTGTTATTATTGTTATTAATGTGATAAGTATTGAATTGTTATTAAAATCTCAATAACATTTAAACAATGAAATAATGGAAAACTCTTTCCAAAAGTTGAGGAAAAGGGCAAACAGGGAGGTAGTAGGACAATAACTGACTCCTTGGTGACTAAGTACTTGTAGGCTCGATTTGTAAATACAATAAAAAACTTGTATTACAGTGGGCATGGCATATATTCTTACCAGATGGGCCACTTTGGGTTATACATTAGGGAAGTATGCAAGCCCAAAAATCCAAATCTCATGTTTTTTTATCCTCTATTTATCCCCAATCAGTGGGAAAAGCTCCCTAACATCCCCCTCCGCCCTTTATTAGCACTTCATGCCAACTTATCACTGGACTTATAGAAAACTGACATCAAGACTGGTCTGTGTGAGTGTGTTGTGGACTTGATCTCTGAGCTGTAATATGCATGTGGCTATTGTTTGTCATTTTGCTGTATATGTGGAGGCTTGAACAGCTAGTACCTGTTTTCAAGAAACCACCCTTAAACAAAAAAAAATTTTTTTTTTGTTTTTTATTTTTTTTTACCCCCCCCTTATGCTCTATAAGAATGGCGGTGCCCTTTTCCCATTTGTCTGCATTGCCCTTGGTAATATTAACTGATCAACAGTAAACAAACATTGTTCAGCAATTGAACGGTTTTCTCTGTACCAGTAATTAAGACCTCTGCGTGGGCAACAAATCAATTATAGGGCAGAACTTTGTTGGGCACTGTAGGTAGGTTTCTGAGAAAATGTTTTCTGTAAGGTCCTAGTTTTAGACGGTGGGTCAAAGTTAAAGATTTACCAAAAAATTACATATTCAGTTATATTATTAGGTAAGATCTGTTACACATGTTTAAAGTTGAAAACCGTGTTCTAGTTGACCGTATTTTCCTGTCTATGGGGAATTCGTTTTTGGTCGACAAGTTCAAAACTGGCAAAGATTTTTACTCTTGATTACCTCCATTTCTGTTATTACATAGACTCATTTCTCCTTTTATCATCTAATGGCACCACAAAGCTCTGATTTTCCTCTCCTACAGGAGTTAAATTCATAACACTCAGTGGCATAGTATGTGGCCCATGCTAAAAGCCAAAGTTTCATCACACGCAGTGAAAAGTTTCGTGCAGTTTCTTTATGGCACTTCAGCAATGTAGTCTTTCAAATCAGGGCTTTTTAAGAATAATAGACATTGGCTCTCAAAATCTGCTGTTATGAGATGGCTTTATAGGTGGTTTTGGCAACTTCACCAATTTTTACTGTGTCCTATGGCTTTGGTCCACAGACAAAAGCCAACACATCTCTACCAAAAAAGCTTGCAAGATGGAGCTTCATAAAATTGGACATACGTTATGACACTGGAGTACGTACACTGTGGGTGTGAGATAATGCTGTCTCCATGCTAGTCAAATCAACTGAGACCTGACTCGTCTGGTGTTCACTTGCCCTACAGTGTCTGTTTTTTTTTCCTTATATGTACAACTTTGTGTACAGATACAACTTTTAAATGAAAAAAAAATTATTGCCTTAATGTTATATGTAACTTATATATCTTATATAAAATGAACATTTTTAATTTAACGCTATAACTATCACAAAACTTTTGAAACATGGAACAGCAATTTGTTTGGAAATAGTAGGCTTGTGCATGGGCTGTACTGCAGTGCATCTACACAATTTTTGCTCATTATTTCTTTACCAAGTATATTTGTTGAAGTATGTTGGTCCTTGGCAGATCCAGCTTGGCATGGAAACTGAGGTGATTAGGGTGAGAACCATGGCTTATGTTTCAAATGCTAAAACATAATACTACCTGAACAATGGGATAACCTTGATAATCTTTTAGGGCCATACCTAAGAAGGGAGTATGTGGTAAAATTGGTAAATGATAAAAAAAACTTGCCTTTCTGATTTTCTTTTCAAAATTTAATATTCATATGGTTTATTTTTAGTAGTGTGCATCCTGTTTGAACTTTGGGTTTCTTCATGGGAGGACAGTGTCCCCACCATTTTTTTTTAGCTTTTGCTATATAGGTCCTCTTTCATACTGCTAATCTCCATCTGCATATGTATTATATGATGAAAATAATCATAAGAATCAATAAGCTCATAAGAACAAAAATAGAAGAAAGTTGTATTCTTGTCTATATATATAAAAAGAGTTGAATGATTTAAAAATAGTGATATGTAAGCTCAAAATTGTGGTTACAGGATAAGAATTGTCATTATTTAAGTATTTTTTGTAATTCTTAATTATGAAACTTTACCACCAATTTTTACTAGATATTGTGCCAACTCTCCCATGATGAGTTTTACCTGAGATAATAGAAATCATTCCGCAGCCAGCCAAGTTTAAAATCTGCAACAGCTTAGTATAAATCTTGTGTATGAGTCAGTATGAACAGGATTATAGACGATAAGAAAATTTTCTTAATACAGTGTGAAATGTAATGCATATATGTTTTTAATGGGTTTATTGTTAAAATGGACCAGAGCATGGTATTCCTTTAGTTTATACATCCCTTTTCCCTCATGGGGACCCTGAGAAATTATCATTTCTCTTTCCCACCACTCCAGGCTTACCATGACCAATAATGATTTGTACCTCTATTAGGTGCTTGAGGTATGCTCCTTTATCAACTAGCCCCACAGGCACTAATTTTCTGGTTCCCAACCTGTGGGTCTCCTTTGATCATGACTGACACTGCTCTACTACTCATCCTCGATAACCTGCTATCACTCTCAGTCCAGCTCTGAAGCACCTACCATTGGTTATTACCCATTCCGTCTCTCTCCTATTGTCCCTTGTCCCTTTCCCTCTATCCTCTGCAGTCTTCATTTTCAACCCCGTCTTCTCATATTACTTACCTGCTCTTTATTGTGTACCTCACGTTCTAACTCGAATTTCAAAATCTTTAAGAATGTCAAAAATACTAATCATGTCCAGATAACAATGCCCCTACCGCCATCCTTACTCCAAGCTTTCTGCCAACATCCATCCATCCTCCTACTCTTGTTCCCTTACACGCCCTTCCTCCACTCCTTCACCTTTCCCCAACAGCCCATCCCCCCTACTTCATCTTCATCACCAACCCCCCCTTACTTTCTTGTTTATCATTCTCTCCCTCATGTAATCACATGACGACTACCTTTTGTCCAGTATGCTCCCTGGACCCTTCCCCTCCTGTCATTTTTTCCTGTAAAACTGCTCTTTGATCCAGTTCCCTTAACCCCCCCCCCCCCCCCCCTTACCCCACAGACATCCTTGCAACAGCCTACCCTTTTGTCCTTTGACAACTTTGATCTAATCATCCTTTGCTAATCCCTATCTTAACTCATTTACTTTTTTTTCCCCTTTCAGTACCAATGTGCTTTCCAAACTTGGAAGGACTTTTGGATGTGTAGCGCATTAAATCAACAACAGTCCCCTCTCCCTTTTCAACGAACACCCTTTCTGTAGTGCGATGTGACCTTTGATGTCTAGCTACTTTTATTTTGCTTTATAACCATTAACCAGTTTGGTAAGTTGGGGGGGAAAATATCTATAAATAATCTTCATTTATAATTTCTCAATAATTTTTGATCTTGTAATGGTTTCTTATTTTCTTTAATCTTATCTTACACAGCTTATAAAAATTGTCACCATGAAATAACTACGAAGCTCACAGTACCCTGAAATCCCATGGGGAGCAAGTTGCTCGGGAGCTGTGGCAGCGATAACCCTAATCCAGAGAGGTAATTTACTCTAACTTCAGAAATCTATTTGTAATATACAGGGAAATTGAATACTTGTAAAAAAAATTATATATTATTATAGTTTATAATGTATATATATGTATATATATGTAACACACACACACACACTCCTCACACTCACACTACACTCACTACACACACACACGACACGCACATGCCCACGCACAGCGCCACTGACAAAGGCACGGACTTAAGGGTGCCACCGCACACGCACACGCTCACGCTCACTGCTCACGCTCACCGCTCACTTCTTCCCAC